AAATCCTCCACAGAAATTAATAGAAAATGAATGAATGATCAAACATTGCATGTGAGTTTGATCTTCACGTGGCACCGATCGATCTTATTCCATAAAGAAAGAAAAAACTCATTTATAATAAAATAATTAAATAATTATCACATATATTCGTATTAATTAAGGTAACTTTTATTAAATATATGTTGTAGTTATTAAATTTAATAAATATGTTATAATTAAAATATAATTAGATAATTATTATTCTCATGTTACATGAATAAAAAAGATTAATATTATATAAAAAATGTCTATTTATATATTTTTATTGTATAAACATTATGTTAACAGTCAAATAAGTTACATTCAAATTTATTTTCTTTTTTTAGTTTTGTTATTTTAAAATATTTTTTATGAATGATAACAATAATAAAATAAATATTTGTTAAATATATAGATAAGTTAAAAATCATAGTAGTTTATTTAAAATGATGAAAAATAAAAATTAAGTGATAAGTAAATATTTCTGTACTATTTATATACATTTATATATGTAATTATATTATATTAATATCCGTTTAACTTATAGATACATATTTGTATTTATTTTATATCATTAAATATTTGAAAATTTCCATTTAAAAATATTTGTTATAAACTAATTTTGTTAAAAATAATATAAATAAATTTTTTATTGTATATTTGAACATCTTCATATATACCCATGTATTAAATTTTTAATGTCATTTAACATATTTATAAAAGTGGTACGAAAGTCAAACACTTAATAGACATATTATATTTATTATATTATTATCAATGGATATAGTAAGTAATTTCAGTAATATTATAAAAGAAAAATAATGTTCTTTTTTTCACACACACACACACATATATATATATATATATATATATATATATATATATATATATATATATATTGCGTGATCTTTCGGTTTGAGGGAAGTTTTACAGAAGTTCAGTCCTCTGCTGTCAAATTATAAGAATGTCAAAATAAGTTTCATTAAAATACGAAAAATTTGAAGAATAAATTAGAAGGATGATATAATATTTGTAATCTAAACTTGAATCTAATCACTAATGGTTCACCCATTTAATCCTAGAATAAATAGATTTAGGTTGAATTAGTTAATCATGGTGTTATTAAATTATATAAATATATATATAAATGTTATTAGTCATAAATAAATTGCTTATTAATTTATCATTTTGCAACATTTTTAAGGAGTTACATTATTTATGAAGTTATTGTACTAAGAATGAAACCAAAAGTCTTTTAGATTCTTACTCTTTCTTTTTCTGGCTACGGTTTAATGCGTGTAGTTATCTTTTAGTCCTTCACGGAAGACGATTAGGCAGAAAACAGTCTGGTATTTAATTAAGTAATTAGATATAGTAAGTGTGTATATTATGTTTATAAGCGATGACTAATATTGTTTCTAACTAATACTGTATTCGAATATCATTGAGATTGTGACCTTCTTCTTCTAACTTTTAAATTTAAGGTTCAATTTTTATCTTGTTTTGTTTTTAGAGTAACTAAATGACAAATTTTCTATAACCTATGGTTCTTTATGATGGCAGATGTAGAACCTTAATAACATAATAGAGTAAAAAAATGAAGATAATGTATTGTTTAAGAATTGTGAGTAGAAATTGTTTGAGTGATTAGGGTTTTGAAGCATCCATGCGATTGTGTTTATCCTTTGAAGCAACTTTCATGATTCAAATAGTAAATTTCCACCATAGTAGTAGGAAACAAACAAACAGTAGTCAATTTTTCTGTGAAAGAGACATGAACCCTGATTTCATAGATGGGGATGAAGTGTGCCAAATGTGGGTAATGTCAACAACAACTAGGGTTTAAGTTCTTAATTAACAATCCTTTTAAAATATACCAAGAAACAATAAATATTTCCAGTGATATGACTCCGAAGAAAAGCAAGTTATATTAGGGTTTTAACTCAGTCTATTTACACCATAATTATATGAATTTAGGTCAGATTAAAATAATAATTATTTTTTAAATAAAAAATAATATTATTTTATTAAAAATATTTTTTAATTAATTTGATAAAATATCAATTTATTTTAATAATAATAATAATATGAAAAAAAATTGTAACAATTACTTCCTTTAATATTTAATGTTAAGATTAATTAATATTTTGGATCAATAAATTATTAAAATAAAAAAAATAATAACCATAAAGGAAATTTTTAATTCTTATATATTAAATTATCATAGGTTAAATAAAAATTAATTTTATTAATATAATTTAAATTTTAAAAAATTATTTAAATATTTTTTAAATTATTTATTTTAGTATAAATACAATAATTTTTTATTTTCATTTACTAAATTTGATCTATTAATTCATTGATCTCTTTACGGTTATATAAAACTAAAAATTATGATTTATTTTAAAATATAAGTGACCCTGAATTATTAAATTTTTTTATTTATTCTATAATAATATATTAAGTTGGGTCAGACTATTGGTTTTAACAGTCCTAAGTATGATAATTTTACAAAATAAAACTAATAAAAAAAACATTATATTTGAAACATAAAGGAATCACAGATTTTATGTATACTTTAGCTTAACTTTCTTGTATCTCTATAATTAGATCTTGCAAACTTTGTTTCAATGTTTATATTATATGTTTAATTTTTGAGTTATGCAATTTAATTATATAATATATTATGAATTTAAATATAAATCATGTATAATTAAATTATATAATTTAGTAAGTAGTAATAACTTGTGTACTTTAACTAATTAAATAATTAAAGTTTGAACTTTGGTAATGTCATTTTGAGTATGAAATAAAATAAATTAAAAATATTTCTAATTTATATGCACTCAAGATCTCTGACAATACTATGGTTAATAATGTAAACAATTATAGTTAAAAATAAAATATTTTCTTCTACTAGTCATACAAATTATCTTTGAATTGCTTTTTAACAATTTTAACTTACATCCTTAGTTTTCGTTTTACTAATTTTGATTTTTTATTGCCAGTTTCAATTTTATTAGGCAAAATTATTATTAATTGATAATTTACAAGATTAAAAAAAGAGAGTTAAATCATCTAAATTTAAGACCTTTTGGAGCATATGATTTAATAAATTTTAAATCACGTGTCTTAAGAACATAAAAATTATTTTACAAATTTTAACATAATAATTGAATTAATTGTTTTTAATCTTTAATTCTTTTTTTTTTAAAAGATAAAAAATATATTTAATTTAAAAGTAAAATTCATCACTTTTTTAATAATTTATTTTAATTGATTATAAGAAAATGAATAATAAAAATTAAAAAAAATTACTCTTTTTTTTAATTAAGATAATTTTTTATTTAAATATTTAAAAAGTAAAAATTAAAAATTTACTATTTGATTTGATTTTTTAATTTAATAATTAAAAAAATATTATATTAAATTAAAAAAATATGAAAAAACGAAATATTAGTTTTTGCATAAACAAATTCTTGGTTTACGGTCATGACGTGTGAAGAAAATAAATATCATGCTTGTGCATATGCAATGTTGGCTTCTGTTTCTGTCCTACTTTGTTTGACATTGGAATTGGAAAACCCTTGCTTTTGTATTACCCTCACAAACATACTAACTCAATCCAATATCCCAAATCAAGATGGACCAAACCATCAATCAACATTGCTCCTAATCTTCACCTAATTCACATAAACTTTAATGGGGACCTTCCCTTACCTTCTTTTCTCAAAATGGGCCACTACCCCCACATAGTTTACTTCAAGTAAAGAACATTTTTACAAATTAAAAAAAAAATCTTGATCTTAAAAATAATTGATTCAATATTCTTTTATTTTTACTATAATGAATTCAACTCTTATCTTAAGGGACAAGTTCACCCATAGAAAGACTAGCACAAGTGAACAAACACAGCACTATCTTCCATGAATGTGAGATCCACCCAACTGCTTTCTAACACCGGATCCTTACACTTTTCCTCTTCTAATCACATTAAACAAGTCCTTGTCACGTGAAAGGTACAGTGATGGAGAAACAGTATTTGTCCTTTTCCTTTAATTAATCCCCTTGTGATTCTGTGGGGGATCCTAATTGGTGCATCACTGCTCTAATTAGTGTTTAGTGACAGTTAAATCCCACCAAATTAGTCACAAAAATATTCTATACTTTCTCTCAGCAACCAACTTTTGACTCCCCACTATTTATCCTCCAATCTTTGGTTGGAAGATGAAAGAGTTGGAAAGCGCATTTGCTCATAAAATACTCCCTTTTTAAATTCCCTTTTAGTGTTAGCCATATACATTTAGTGACAAAATTCCAAGGCAACAAGCATATTCTTGAGAGGGAAAAAATGATTCATGAATATCCCAAAATTGTAACATAGCTCCTGAAGGATATTTTGGAAGATCACCATCCAACATACAGAAGTGGGGATTGTAATGGGAAGCAGATTAAAGTGTCCAAACATCATATGTCAATGACAACTTTGGTGCTTGTGCTATTATTAAACTATAAACCATGAATCGTTTTAGAAATACTTTGTGGCAAATTAGAACCGATGTAGTTCTAATATGACGAGTTTAACCAATGCCACATGCAGCTTCTCAAACCATTTTAATCTGCTAACCTTTTCTTTTGTCTATGTTTTGTACATAGGGTACATATTCATATGATGTTTCACCTTTATTCCCGACAAGAGTAGCCTTTATCTCCAATATTATTAAAAGTTAACACACCCAGATCTCAGTTCCAGCCGAACATGTGGATTTCTATCCATTATGGTCAACCAGTGGTTATTATATTGTAGAGAGGGTGCAAGAGAGGTGATAAAGGTGACAGAGGTGTGCTTGGACTGTGTCAGGCAGAGCATAAAGAATTGAGCATGGGAAGAAAAGTAGAAATAAGGTAAACTTTTTATTCATTTGAGAATGGAAACTATATAGATAGCTATCATTACTAAATACTATTATTATTATTATTATTCAATTGAAGGCAGTACTGAGATAGTTCTTCACAACATTTTCATTCAATATTTGCAACACTTTGGTGTTTGTAGGGCCTACACATCTTGGTGTCTTGAACTGACTCACAGCAGCTCCTTGTGAGAGGAAGTGCTCAAGAATCTTCTGGAATGTTCCTCTCCGAACAACTCGGAGTTCAAGGGCCCCAATGCAGTTGACTTTGCGAGAACTGGTGTAGCCAGCATCCACAAAAGACTTGTCCAAACAGTTGCAACATCCACCAAGCACTTCTTCACTTGCTTCCCCACTGATTTCCCAGAATATCACATAGTGGCCTGGCTCTTTGGATATATCTATGTGGCTTGTGTAGTCTACAACGTCCAATTTCTCCTCTGCCAACAATTGAGATGCTGCTTCCACAGCTAACTGCAAATCTGTCTCTGTGTTCTTGTCAATGTTGATGCTAAGTAGAAGGTTGCTACGCCTAACAAACTTCACTTCTGGAGCTGAGTTATAGAACCCCATAACCTTCACCACATCACCAAGTCGATACCTGTACAAGCCTGCAAATCAAGCCAAGTTATAAAATTGATGATCAGTACATATAAATATACCAGGAAGAATCTTAAAATTTAACTCTGTATAATATTAGTACACTATCTGTATTTTGCTACTATGCATTGTGTATATTATATTTCCAGTTTTAGCTGTTAGACTAGGGTAAAATATCTTTCAAAGGTTGCTACCAAGAACAGTTATGACGTGAATGTAGATGAGAAAGTATCATGAGTTTATAATTTGACATGCTTACAAATTATATTTGAACATGTTTACTGTGAAGAATATTACTAACATTGTATGATGCATAGACAATTCTACTCATTGTAGAGGGAAAATGAGAAAAAAAAAAATAAGTAAAAATGCTTTGAAAAGTTGCAAGGTTATCTGGTCTGTGCTGTCAATTCTATTTATTGGTTGTTACTGTTTTATTATTTGATAGCATAAAACTGTACTCAGTTTAATTAATAGAAAAAGAAGAGAATGCAACTAAAGTCTGAAAGGCTGAAAGGAATAAGCTTTGTATTATCGAATGCATGTAAATATGAAAAAAGGACATGCAGATTCGAGGTACAGTGGGTTGCAGAAACAAGGACAAGTAATGACATGTTGGAAGGAACTTCTTCTAGAAAAAAAATAAGAAAAAGAAAATAAAATTGGCTTCACTATGAATTAAAATTAATTTACACATAAACTAAAAAAAAAAAATTAAACGATTTATATGAGATAACTTCTACATATTAACTTTAACATAAATTAATTTTAACTTACAAAGAATCTAATTTCAAATTTTATTCTCATTTTTTCTTCCAAGAAGTGCTTATAGAGAAGCAGATCCATACATGTCCAAAATCCAAAATTAAATGCCAGCAACTAAGAATGGACCTGTCTCCGAATGGTACAAATATTAATGTGATTAGGTATGTACTATGTTCCTTTGGAAATCACTAGGATTTTTTTTTTCTTAAAGTTGGTCCCATGCAGGTCAGAAAAAGAAAGGTAAACCACCTAAACCCTTCTCCCTTCAGAAAATGTTAAATTAAAAAGCAGTAATTTGTCAAAAAAATCAACGAGTTTTTCAAAACAGTATGCCAATAAAAAAAATTCCAATTGTGACAGAAGAAAAAGGAGGTTTGAGGAATGGTCATGGTGATTGATTCTTAGTCAGATTCATTGATTGGAATGGAAAACAATAGCAAGAGTTGAATACCTGCAGGATTGGTGATGACAATCTCATACTCCTCACCCACCTTGACATCAGCGAGTCCCACAGGCTGAGGATCCATACAACGGAAACTTGCATCTCCCTTAGTTCCTTCTTGCTCTCTCAGAGGGATGAATTCAAAGTAGCCAATTTGAGGAAGCACAGTGTAAGTGGCCAATTCGGGTGGCACTCTTGGTTTCACATTGGTTCCTACCCACCCTTCAGAAGATCCATAGTCAGAAGTCAACAAAGGCAACTCTCCAGCATAATGCCTCAACTTTTTCAAATAAGGTTCCATTGACCCAGTCATGATTCCATAAACATACTTAACATGGGGGAAAAGCTCTGGTACTAGGCCATACCAGTTACTCAGCCCCATGCACTTGCCGTGGATCAAGTTGGCCAGCTCAGGGTCAGGTTTGAGCAGCTTAGACATGGCTGTCCGAATGGATGGAACTGTGACCTTGCTGTTAAGAACCCCTTCTTTGATATCAACACAAAGCTCCTCCCACACTTGCTCAAAGGTCCTGAAAGCATACACAATGCTGTGTGCAAATGTGGAAGACACCATCTGAACTTCTTCCCTGAAGATTAGCCCACACAAGAGGTGGCAGTACAATGATTGGTGAAAATCAGGACCAAATATAACTTCATCAGGGCTGCAAAATGGGGACTGAGTGGCCTTCATTGCATTCCTGAACCCTGGGTTGCGGAACACATTGGTTGTGGCAGTTCCAGCTAGCACACCCCCTTCAGTCTTGAACTGCTTGCTGCTGTAGATAAAGCCCAAGGCCTTGCCATTGTTTAAGGGAAATTCCCTATATAATGGAATTGTGTCAGTTGCCCATTCCAAATAGCAGAGAAATGAAAATCATTGAGGAAAAGGACAAACAAGAGATGAAATTGAAAACCTGTTCCTGAAGGCAAAAGAGGTGTGATATATCTGCAATGTGGTGTCAAACAGTTCATCATTCCATGGCACATATTTTGGCTTTCCCTGAGTAGTGCCAGAACTGCAAGAATACCAATTTTTCCCCTTTTCAGGATCTGAATTGCAAATTCAACTTCTTCTATGGAATAAACATGTGTAAATTCTGACCTCAAAGACATGGTGGTGATGGGTTTGCCAGTGAGAACAGAAGAAGTATCACCATTAAGTATTCTATTGATATAAGGCTCCAGTTCCTTGTGAGTGACCAGTGGAACAAAGGCCTTGAAACTCTCAGGGTCAGTCCTCCCATTCAGGCCCAACTTCAACAAGTACTCAGCAGAAGCGTTATCTTCCAAAATCCTTTTCAGGGTCTCCCTTTGAATCCTCCCAGCATCCTTTGTCACCCTCTCAAATTCCTCCATCACTCTCTCCATGTTAAATCCTTCCACTTTCTCCAACATCTTCGCAGTCCTTCAAGTCACCTATTACAAAAGAAGAACAAAAACAGTACTCAATTATATATAAAGCAGCAATAAGAATTGAGTTATGAGTCAATATTATCTCCTGAAACCCCATAAATGTTAGTCCTAAAGAGCTAAAAAAAGGGAGGGAGGGGGATAATTGATTTACATAAAGAAACAATTTTGACAAAGCCAAACAGCAAGAAAGAGGTTATATTGCATCACAGAAGCAAAATATGGATAAAGCTAAACTACACCGTTCATTGAGGTTTTTTATTTATTTGACTTAAATATCATAATTGGCATATTCCTGGTATTGTGATCTTTCCTCCTTGTTTTGGTGGCAATAGGACCCAGATCAATAAATTCCCAAACATAAATGCCAGAAACAGGACAAATGCGCTTTCAAGGGATGCTCTGAACCATTAGAAAGACCAAAACAAAGAGAAACGTTAACACCATGGACAACGATGTAGAAAATGAAAGAAAACAACCAAATTGGTAAGTGATGAATCCCGAAAACAAAACAACAAAGCAGGGAACAGATATCAGAGAGAAAATTATGAGCTTCGATCTTTGGCTTTTCCTTCTTTGTTCAAGTCAACCACACTATTCCAAAGATCTGTTCCAAGCACCAATACGAAAATTAAAAAAATCTCCAACCATCAACACTAAGTTCGTGTGAAGCAGAGAAAGAAGCCCGTGAAATATCGGGAACCAAGGAAGAAAATTCAATAAAGGAAGTAATTTTAAGTTACCACTTGCCATTACCGCACCCAAAAAACCAAAAAAAAAAAAAAAAAAAAAAAAGGTAAAAAACAAAAAAGTCAAAGGGAACCAAAAAGTAGTCCTGGAAGGGTAAAAGGACGAAACAAAAAGTGGGGCTCCGTAAAGATTAGTTTTTGAAATACCCTTTGCAGAGAAAGACCTGAATTGGGTTAGAGGGATTGAACCAGAAGACAACTGGAAAACCAGAACTGAATCATATCATAAAGCTTACCAATCACAAGTGCAATATTTTAATGTATATAAAAGAGACATGCTAAGATAAAAAAAAAAAAAAAAGTCAACAAAAACATGTCTTGTTTGGTCCCAAAGAAAAAAAAACATAGAAAAATTCATCTGGTTTTCTGGGACTCCCACAACCCTGTCTTGTTAAACAACCCAGAAGCCAGTGGAAGATGTAACAGCAACAGTATATTAAAACTGGAAATTTGCATCAATAAAACGAAGTAGAGGGTGTCAAGAATTTGAACACTAGTTTAGACGAAAGGCATAGGTTAAAAGGCTACAGATATAGGATTGTCAGTAGAAAAGAAAATAGTACAAACAGAATATGAATATCTCTCTACCTAGAAGAATCTTGATGGTCTGTGAGAGAAGGTAACAATGTATGTGACTATGTGTGTTGAAGAGGTAATGTTATGGTATGAGTTGAGTCGAGTTGAGAGCGGTGTGCTGAGGTCAGGATTCACCTCGGGGTTTGCAATTTATAGGCAGCATTAATTTCAGTTTTTGATTGCCAAAATAATATTTTTGCAGTCTACCAATTTGCCCATGGATTCTGGACGGAATTACAACCTAGTCAGTCACTCTATCCATCTGTTTATCTATTCATCACGTCACAAAAAAAATTCAGTTTTTATCTTCTAACACCATTGGTCCTTGTCAGAAAATTCATATTTTTCTGCTAATGGGATTTAATTAATGTTTGAGATAATGTATTTATTGTTTTCAATTAATATTTTTTACATTTGCCTACTTCTTAATCTTGCTAATCAACATTTTTAAGACACTCATTAAAGAAAGACATTGATTAACGTATAAAAACACATTCAAACATTGTATGAAGATGTGTTTATGTGCATCTCAATAAGTTTCTTTTTAATTTCTTAATCAATGTGTCCAGAATTTTTTTACTTATTTTTATTTTTCACATGTTTGTTTCTCTTTAAGGGAAAGATAATTTAATCCCTTAAGTATGTTTCAATTTGTAATGTGTATACCAGAAATCTTATTCAGAGAGACAGTTTTCATTCATGATTATCTCTATGAAGTAGTTTTTATTTGTCTGTTAAGGGATATTTTGGTGGATTAATGTCAAAAAAATAATAAAAAATAAAATGAATGTTGGAGGTCAATTAATTAAATGGATAAAAAAATTTATTGATATCAATAAGAATGCTAATATTAATCCATTTCTTGATATATGTATTTTAATTTAATTTTTTTATCATTACTATTTTTGACACTATGTATTGTTTTATCTGTTCTTTTTTAATTATTGATTTTTTAGAAAAAAATTAATATATATGAGAATATATTAATTATTTTTTATTAACTATATTCTTTTTTTAAGTTATATTTATTCTAAACTAACAAATTATTCTAAAAATTATTCTAAATTGAGGATACTGATTCACGAAGAAATCGCAAAAATAAAAAACTGTGATTTCCAAAAAATATTTATATATGTTGATTTTTCATTTCGTTAAAACCAACAAAAAATAACGAAAAGTTAAACATAATTAATTATTGTATCAATATTGTATTAAATATTTATATTGTATGATTAATTATATCACAATATAATCAATTATATTGTGATATACTTATTTTATCAGTAACATTTATATATTTGTATAATTAATTATGTCATTAATATTTATATTTATTTTATTATTATAATTAATAAAATAAATATTTATAAATAAAACTTATCTTATGTTTTTTTATTTTCATTCTCATTCATCAATCAATTTTTTTCATTTATTGTTTTATTTTCCTTTTTCACTCCTACCCTTCGTTGATTAAACCAAATTCGTAAGTGTTTATTTAATAAGATTCATTTTTTATCAATAATTAATCTGAAGATTTTTATACTATCATTAAAGTAATAAAAAAATTTGATAATCTTGTTATATATAATAATTTATCACTAGATGATAGATAATAAAAAATAAAATTATCGAACAATAAATATGTTCTCATCAAAATTACAATATAAGATCGTTATTATTGTTGATAAAAATAATAATAATTTTCATATATTTTAAAAAAATTATTTGGATTTTTTCCATATTTTATTTTTATCTTGTTACCTATGTTATATATATATATATATATATATATATATATATATATATATAATATTCCATTTACAATTGTATTTTTAGTATCATCATTTACTATTTTACTTATCCTAATTTTTTTGTTACTTTATATTTTATAGTTTTATGTTTCTTTCATTTTCTTTAATATCATTAATAAATTAATTAATACAAATTTGACTTTTTTCTCTCTCTTAAAACACCTTTAATGACATCTTTTTATGTTATTTTTCTTTCTTCTAAAACACCCTCAATTATACGTTGTCTTTCTTGCTTTTTTTTCACATTTTAAATGTATCATCTTAAGTTACAATTAAAACATTATTCTATAAAAAAAAAAAAAAACTGGACACAATTTGTTAGTGTATCTAAAGGAAATTTCTCGTTTTGTAACTCTTTTTGTGTCATTAGAAAAAAGAGAAAAATATAATATACTATGATTTATAAAATAATAGAGATAGTATAAAAAAAGTTATTGTGATTTATATATTTAAAAATTAATAAAAAATGAGAGAAAAGAAAATTATACGGTGTAATTAATGGAAAAAGAACTATGAGTACATTAAAGAAAAATAAATTGAAAAATATATATTATATATAAAAGGATTATATTTTTTTTAATTGTTTCGGTGACAAAAAGAAAAAAATATATAATGTATTATGAATAAAGAATATAAGATAATGGAAAGAGAATAGAGTAATTAATTAAAAAATATTTGAAGAAAGAGAAAAATGGAAGAAATATGTTAAAAAAAAGTGTAATATGTATAAAGTAGAGATAGAAAACGTGATATATATTAAAAATAAAATTTAATTATTTTAAAATTTAATAATATAAAAATATTGACAGATGCTAAAACATTTGTGTTTTTCCTAATATATGCAGAGAAGATTCCACATTTTATAACCGTATTTAGTTTCATCGGATAGAAAAAGTTACAATATATTATGAACATGCAAGTTATGTTTATACTAATACGTGTTTTTCACTAGTTAGTATATATATATATATATATATATATATATATATATATATATATATATATATACACATATATATTTACGGTAAGTTTATTCCATGGAAACATTGAAGATAAATTTCACATGTAAAAATAAAAAATAAAAAATCGATTATAAGATTATTTATAATCGATTATGTAAGAAAATATATATAATATATACTTAAATAACTCCATGAATATTTTTATTTTATATTTTTTATATTATTATTATAAATAATTTAAAATTATATTAAATTATATATTAAAATAATAAATAAAATTATTAATAATAATTTTATTTACTTTTTAACTTATTTTTACTTTTTCTCTTCGTCTAAACAATTTTATTTTTTATTCTCTTTATCATATTTTTTATTCATTCATATTCATTCCTTTATTTAAATAAAGAGTAAAAAATTTGAAAGAAACAAATAAACAAAATAAAATAAAAAATAATAATAACTTTATATTTATATTATATATAAAATAATTTTTTCTTTTGTAAAAATTTGTAGTGTCAAAAGAAAATAAAATAAAAGTATCATCACTTATAATATAGTAAAAAAATATTGTTATGATTCATACATTTACAGAATAATAAATAAATGAGAAAAACAAAAAGTATGATAACGAGTGGAAAAAACTGGGTACATTTATACCATAAATAAAGAAAATGAAATAATTTTTTTATAAATATTTTAAAAATGTGTTTGTATTTCTTCCTATAACCGCTTTTGTTGTCATCATTTCATTTCTTATAATATAGTATCATTTTTTTTATCAATACAAAACAAGAAAAAAAAACACATGATATTGGAAAGAAAGAAAAAATAACATGATATATATCTAATAAGTGGAGAGTAAATAAAAATTATATATTAAAATAAAA